AAAAAAAAAAAAAAAAAAAAAAAAAAAACGAAAAAGGAGAAAAAGGTTTTTTTTTTGAATCGCAGTGGATTGCATTTAATTTCTATCCACGATTCAAACAATCGGAGTTGATTTATTTCTACTTCAGCAAATATAGCACTAAACGTTAAATACAGGATATTAAATATAAATATTCGGTATATTAAATTTTATTTAAAGCGAATGCAAACTGTTAGTCTGTTTTTATTTGAATGAAACACGATCTATCAGGCATCGTGTTTCATTTGAACATAAATTTATAGTAGGTTATTTTTTATTTACTGAGTTCTTTTCATTTGGATTTGTTAATGTACAGAAAAGGGAAAATATGTGAATTAATTTTTGTCGCTAGATATCGTCGAGTAGAGAAATTACAAACATTCAGAAAAATAAATAATTTTATAAGAACGATGTAATATAAGAGAATTGATTCTAAAATACTTTTATCTTTTTATCTATTTATTTCATGTCTAATATAGTATAATCTTCGACTTAAAAAAAAAAGAAAAAGAAGAAAAGAATATGTAACTTATTATCTATGTAATTTACTTTCTTGAAACACCAGCTAGATACGTTCTCTAAATTATAAAGAACGTTATAAAACTTTCAGAGATCAGTCCCTCAATTATTTTTAAACTTCGAAATCCGAAATTTATTTAAAAAAAAGAACACCTAGATTTTCCAATTTCAAGTTCTACTTGAAAGTCGTATTTTTAACTAAATATAATTTGCAGAGTGCATTCTTTATAATTAAACGCAAACGTTTCGAACAATATGAAAGATGTTGCAGTTTCGCAAGAGTGTATATTTGTCGTGGAACGTTTTCGAACAGCATCGAACGCGATTCCGGGTTGAATTCACCCCTTGTTCGAAAGGCTGACCGACCTCGATGACCGAGTGACATTTATCCGAATAACAAGCGTCTATATTCGCATTGCCTGGGCATTCTCGCGCTATCTAAATCATTCACAAGCTCCTGCATTCAAATCGTCGATTTTCTACTCCTCGCATGCCTTGTTTATTTTTGATCGATTGTCAGTTTTCTTGATCACGATCGAGAGGAGACCGCGAGAGAATTCTTCGTGCAGCGTTTCGCGTCTGGTAAAGAATTTTTAGTTTTTAATTCGATCGGACAGCGACGTATTTGGAAATTCTTTGCGGTGGAAAGATTTGAAATCTGCGAATAATGGCAAATGCTGTTACGGAGATTATATTCTAGATGATATAAAAACGAAGGAGATTTCGTGTTTGAATGAAAAGTGAAAAAGGGAATTGTTCGATTTTTCTCTTTCTTTGTTTCTTCTTCTTTTTTTTTTTTTTTTCTTGATAAAAGTACCGTCGAGTCATTTCGAATGAAGTTTTTTACTGAACGTGACATATTTCTTTCCATTGCCAGTGTTTAATCGCTTGTTCTATGGACTTTGAATCGCTCGAAAAATCAAGAGCTTCAACGGGATTTTAGAACATGAGAAAAATAAGAGTACAGTAATTACAAAAGGTTGCAATTTTTAGATTCCTTTCGTGCGTCATTTGATACTGAGACGAGGTGAATTTCTGTTCGTATAATGAATTTTTGCAAATTATAAGTATTTGCCTTAAATTATAAATTTCTATGAGCTATTTAATTAGAATTTCTTTCATTTAGGACTTAAAAATTAGCATTGATTGACAATTCAATCAAAATTTGACAGAAAAACAAAAGTACTTCGTCTTTGGAAAATTCGTAGTATTAAATTGAATATTTTTATTTCATTTTATTAATTTCATGATTTATTGCATTGTGTTACAGCGATGCCGATGGAACCAGTTGGTTTTCCCCAAATGGGCGTTGGTCTTCAAGGTGGTTTACAGTTGGTCAGGGATCCAACGACAGGCCATTTACTTCTTATCCATGCTGCTGGTATGGTCATAAATTCTTAAATTCAAAACAAATAATAAAAATTAGGGAAATTTTTATGATTTTTCCCTAATCAGAGTTTAACCAAAATTCGAAGAAAAGAGATTGTAACATTTACTCCAAGGATTCACTTTCTACAAAATTTAATTATTTCCAGCGAAAATGCTTTCTTTTCTCCGAGAATAAAATAATTCGGTATATTGAAGAAACTCGAGCCATTCTAACATTTATTTTAAAAGAATAATAAGAAAATAGAATCATGAAAATTTTCACTGAAATTCTTAAATCTAAAAATTCTAAAAATCTTTCGTGAGATTCACAATAAAAGAAGAGGTAATGATAAAAGTGTTTCAAAAGATTTATGCCAAATGAGGGAGTTATTTGTGTCTATATAAAAAGAAAAAGTAAATTTCATACGTTAGATCTAATTACGTCAGATATCAACTTTAGATTCGTTTCAAACTATAAAAGCACATTTCAAAATTAAAGCGAATTTCTCAATTTCTTAATATATATCTGGGTTAAAAGTCCAGGCTAAAATCCTCCACTGAACGAAAATATCTTTAACGTTTTAAGTAGGTCATTTCTCGGTTAAGAGCTTCTCTTGAAGGAATAATTAAAGATTAATAAAAGTGGATTAATTCACTTAATCCCTTGTAATGTGATCGTGATATTTCTGTTCTTAAAATGAATGTTACGATGGCTCATGTTCCGTTAATATACCTAAAAGAATTAATAACTATCGTGCTATTATTTCTTAGAGGAAAGGGAGCATAATGAAATATTTAATCAATTTTCGTTGGAATTTATTAAATTTTGTAGAAACTGAAATCTCAGAGTAATCAGATTTTAGAATTTTTGTAACCTAAATATCTTGAATTTACATTATAATTTTGATGTGTTAAATTTAATTTTTATATTATTGTGCTAGATTTCTCTTCTATCGTAACTCTTTTAGTTATTCAAGTTAGTTGAATATATACAAATATTATAATTATATTTTTACTAACGCGTAGTTATTTTATAATACCTACTCAAATAAGTATCGATTAAAATAATGATCAACGATCTTAAAATTCTAACTTGTTCATACTTTAAAACTGCAGAATATAACGTTTCAAACCATTGTCAATCATTCGATTTTAATTATTCGATGAATAAACCAGAAATATGGATAAAAGCGAAACAGATTAATTCCATTATATTAGTTTGTGTAATAAATTCGTTCGCTGTTTGATGTCACATTTTTCGGAATGTTAAAAATATATGTTATAAAGACCATTGTTTACATTATCTGTAGTCGATAATATATGTAATTCATCCATGCTAAGGATGAATAGGGAAACACATATGTATATGTAATGTAAATAAATAATACATATTACAATGGTATTACTTAATGAAAAAAATAGGAAGAAAACAAATAATATAAACATGTAGCACAATATAAAATTGAAAATATAATTTAAGAACTTTCAATTATTATTTATTACTACAGAAAGAAATATTGACTTTACGATAGTTGAATCACTTACTATATTATCAACATAACATGGAATATTCATAATTTCAAAGAACGTGGAGATACACATAAACGTGCGTACAATTTTTTGATTGAAGAAGCGAAACCTTCGAAGTCATTCAATTTATTTACAGAGAATAATCAATCAAATAATACGCGTTAATTGTATACCATCGTTGAAATGTTGCCGAATGTGCTTATTGCGCAACCTAATATTTTAGAAAGTGTACGTAGCGTGTAATACTTTTGTAAAAAAAAAAAACTGGAACATCTTCTGTTCGCAGAACAAATGCAACAGGCAGTGGTATGGCCGAATTACTCAAATCACAATAGCGGAAATGTCGCGCCACCGCCGCTTCTGCTTCCGCCGCCGCCGCCTTCTCTTCAACTTCTCAGCGACATCGGTGGCGCCAGGCTGGTCCTTACGGAGAGTAAAAGAAAGCAGCAGAGCACCTTACCTATCGTGAAAATAGAAGCAGACTGTGGCACCAGCCCTACGACCATAATCAGTAAGTTGAATGCAATTTTCAAAGCGAAGTTTAAAAATTCTATTTAAATTAAAAAAAAAAAGAAAAAAAAAGACCTAACTGCATAGTCGGAAAATAGAACGCGCGTTACTATGATAATATACTAATTATAAGTTTCGTATGATATTTAATTTATGGTACGTGGTACGTGCTTGATTGGTAGATTCATGGAAATTATTTAAATTCTTATCAATCATACGAAATCATATGAAAATCTTAGATAAATCATTTACATATGATTTAACACGATTGCACGTTATTTTCTTTACTTGATTAAGTACAGTTTTTCTCTTAATTCGCGTTTTACTTAAAATTCTTATCCACTTGCGTTTATTCATTTACATTTAATTTCCTCTTTTTTTCCATTTCAATTCCAATATGTGATATAGAATTCATTTATTACACATTATCTGAGATAGAATACGAAAAATTATCTTATTGCTTATATTACTTCGGTAACAATTAGAACCATACTCTTGAATAATAATTGACAATAAATCTTCTGTCGGAAATTATCTCTTATCAAATTAACAAAATAGATCAACGCGTCGTGCAATAATTGGCAAGCTTCATTTACATAGAAAAATTCATTTATTGATCGAATTTATTGGTCAAATAATTTCATAACGTTGTAATTCTAAATTCCATAGCGTCCACGGAGTCCACGAAGGCGTTGCAGACCGTGACTTCGATGACAGGAACCCTCGTGCCAGATGCACCCCTCGTTACTACGCTTCACTATTACCCGCATGCTCCTGCGTTGGTTCAGATCAGCCAGGCAGAGCCAACCCATTGCAGATCACAGGTAAGTCCCTTGCCTTTGTCATTTCACTGTTTTCTTCTACCTTTCTTTTGTATTACGGTCTATTGTCTATAATTTCTTTCATTTTCCCCGTGAAAATACTAAGTCGTCCTTGAGAGTACTAATAGCTTTATTACGGTACATTATACCAAAATTTAGTAAGAGCTACCTTCTGGAAAGTTTCCGCAATGTTGGTAATTGATGTTTGAATTTACTAGAGGAATTATTTACTGTAAGCAGTAAAGAGTAGTAATTTTTAATCGTTATTTAATTACACAATATTTCCTGTATATTATTTGGAAAGTTTACTTTTGCAGACTATAAAATTCAATGACCGATTTTATTATATCTGTTATAGTTAATTTTCACTTTTCTATTTTGTTTGGAACTTCAATTGAACAAAAAATTTACTTTCACTGTTACAAAAATGTTATTTTTGACGTAAAGAGATCGCATATTTTTTAGAAACGATTCAGGACAATTTTAGACTAAATATCGATAAAGAAGGATTTAAATTCAAGAAAAGGATTTTAGATTATATATATTTATGTATAAAAGGGGATTTAAATTCAATAAAGATAGAAGAAATTTTAATTTCTAACAACAACGAACTCACTAACAATATATATATATATATATTTCAGCAAAAATAAATGCCGTATAATTTCTAATTTTATAATATATGTATACTTTTAAATTACTAGTTTCACATTTTGGAAATATGATCACGACAGATAAATTATATTACAGTGTCGATAAAACTTCAAGATTTTTCATACAACGCACACTTGATCATCTTCTTATACAAATTTTGTAAAATTGAACCTAAATTAATAATTATTCGACAGTGCGTTCAATTTTTATAATTAAAATATGATTAACAATTTTTTTCTATAAATAATATCAAGTCGAGCATAAAATGTATCATTCCACTCAAAAACAATTGTAGTTATCTACGAGATAATTATTATTGTTATATTATGGTTCTCCCCGTAACTAAAGGATCTTTTTTCACAAAGTTCTTTCGTATTTCCAAAAACAAAAAAAAAAAAAAAAAAAAAAAAAAAAAAAACAGGATTTATACGAACGAGATATTCAAGGTGATCAAATTACATGGTCCGTTCTGTATACAAAGAAAAAAAAAATTTCATTTTTCACTGTTATCGAAATACTTTTGCGAGCCACTGTATGCTCGTCGATTGTACGTTCGAATCGAGCACGATGACAAGAGGGAAAAGCAAACGATGCAGGAATGGGGGGGTGGGGGGCGACGATAGTAATTATGCCAAGCTCAGGGCGCGGTCCAACCGTTCGCATAATGCGGAAACGTTGTGGCACATTGTATTAATCATGCGCAAACCTATTTGCATCGCTATCTGCATAGATATTACTAACCAGCTCGTTGTTGACCCTGCAATTCCTGGGACGCTGAACGTTTCACGTTGGTTTGTTCGCCGCGGTCTTTGGTTTGCTTTCCGCTGGTCATTTGCCCGTTACCGTTTCCATTCGTTTCTCTGTTTTCCCGTCCTTCTTTCGAGATCGAACTTTTATTTTCTATTGTAGAAAAAAAAAAACATATCGTGTCGAGTGACTATTTGACTCGTCAGTAAGACAGTTCGAGCAATTTTTTTGAATGTTCTTAACTTTTATTTTTTCATTATAGAAAATATATCGGCATGACTGTTTGACTCGTTGTTGGTAAGATTGAGCAATTTTGGATATTCTTAATCTTTTGAGCAATTTCGACAGAGATTTCGATAGAATAGAAATTCATAGAGACGATTTTAGTTCATGAAAAAAATTTTATTCTTGAATTATGAATTTTAATTTTAATTTGTAAAAGAAAGTTATACGCTTTTTAGAAGATGCGTAGATATCGCGAACATTCTTTAAGCATTTAATATATAACATTTAAAGAAATTTTCTCCTGAATAGTTTTTAGACGTGGATAATAGATATTAATAGATTCTTGTACAGTATATGACAATTTCAAATATAAAAATTTATTGATAACGAAGAGTCAAAATTTATTATCTGTCAAATTCTGCGTAAAAATCATTTTTCAGTAAGGAGTAAAAAAATGATTACACTTTTCTCTGTCTCTACTGTCTATAAATTATTTTCATCTCCTTCAGATGTTAATATTTAAGAAAAAAAATTCCCGTTCAAATTAGAAGCAAATCACCTAATTAAGCTCTCTTCTAAACTTCCTTTAAATTTCGACAAGAATACTCTTTACACTTTTTTTTCTCCTTCCTTCAATTTCCCCCCCTCGACTTACTTAGCTCCTAATCTCGAAGTTTTGTTTTCCCTTGGGTGATTCATGACCCGAGGGTGTCAATTCGTTGCGCGAACAAAAGCTTAAACTGTTGCTTACCAATCCTTGCTTATTCTCTTTTCTTACGACCTACACTTTTCCTGAGCGCGATTTCAAAGAGCTTTTCAGTCTTTCGTTACAATACGGTTTGTTTCCTTCCCTTTGCTCCACTGCTTTTCCATTTTATTGCCATTCTTTTGCCTCGCATTCCTCCTTTCCTCTGTCAATTTCCCCCTTCGCTTTTCCCGATAATAAATGTTGCTTCTTTTTTTTTTTTTGTTTTCTTTTCGTAAAATGCGATCGAGACGTGTTTTCTTCGTTTTTCCTAAATTCCTCATCCGTGCTGCTCTTGAACGAGAAAATAAAGCTCGGATCGCGAATTTATTTATTTTACGCGTTTCTTTTCGATAAAAAAAATTCAATATTCTGTTGTTAATGAAAAAATTACATTCTTTTCGTGCAAATAACTAATTATCCAAATGAACATTTCGAAGGGATGTTCAGGAAAAATCTCTTTCTTATTATTATTCTTTCTCTGCAGTAAACGTTGGGTATTAGTTTCTCTAATACACATAATTAGAAGCCAAACCAGTTATTTCACACACCTATCGGCGTTCACGATCGCCGATTTCCACGTTCAAATTGTTTTACCAGACATCAATGTAAATCATTCCAATGAATACATATTAAACAGGGTAGTTGGATTAATTTGCATGGTTATAACATCTATCTAATTCAGCTCTATTTGCAACGGGAACGATTTCGACGATCGTTGTCAATTGTCATGATCGAACAGAAATCACTTCAATTCTGCGTTTTCTCTCTGCCTTTCGGCCACTTTGTTTCGAGAATCCGCTTTGTAAATGGAATCCGAAGGCTTTTCCTTCTAGATTCTAGAGTTTCGCCTTTGGCCTCTCTGTTGTTGAAAAAAATCGCATTCGCCGGCGAATTTTTTTAAACAATGAATTTTTAATAATTTTTAATTCAATAAAGTTGAACGAGCTATCTTTAAAGTGAACACATCCGTGCGGATAGAACGTGAATTGAACCTTGAGTGAACTAAATTTTATTACCCTGTTTGTAATTTTCGTGCTTAACGAGTCAAGCTGTACGAATATTCCAAAGAAACTGTGAAAACAGGTAACGAATATACGAATGTATTAAAACGTTTTGAAACTCGTCGTTTTACGTGTTACGTGAAGCCGTAATTAGAAAAGTAACTCAAAAGATTATTCATTTTAAAAGTATGTTTTTATAAAGACAATAGACGAAGATGTTTGTGTTAATTTACGTAGTGCAATTAATTTTCGTAATGCTTTGTTATAAATGTTTTATATGAATTGTGTTTTTAAATACGTAAAATATTTTTATATGAATTTTTTTGAAATACGTGAAAAGCTATGAATGATACTGAGAAAACAAAAAATAATTCATTTGCAGATAATTATTAATACGAATATATTCGGAGGAGCAATCCATAAAAATATCTATAGTTATATCTATTTTTAAATGACAGTAACTGTTCGGATTAACTTTCTGAGTATTTAGTCCGTATGAGAGTATTGTACTGAGAGTTTTTACACATTTCTCATCTCAAAATCTTGAAAAATTTTGATGGAATTTCATAATTTTGTTAGACCGTTAAAGATGAATAAATGAGCATAATTGATTTTTAATTTCGTACACGTTTGTCAGTTAGACGTTAAACTTTTAGAATTTTGGTAATTTTAAGCACCCAAAAGCAATAAATTTTAATCCCCATAAATCACAACCATTTGAGATAATTATGGGAATTTTTCGCTTGAGAATAATTAAATTTCCATTTTGTCGATTTTTCATTCTGACAATAAAGGATATTGACAAACTAAGAAATCTTCTATTTAGATTTTTAGTTTGTTCCACTGGATATAGTAATTTCAAACATTTAGAAGGTTTACTTTAATATTCTTACGTACATAAAATTATTGCCAAAATCTTCGAATCTTAATTAATATCGAAGCTTAGTTAATTACCTGGACAATCTTCATTATAATACTTCCTAAATTTTCTACCATTTAGACTTTGAAAATATTCCTCTATTCAAATCGCTGTTTCCGCATCTGGTAAATAGCTTTATGGCCTGTAGAACGCTTTTGGCTACATCAGATAAGCCGTTGATGTTTCAGAACAATACATGTCATTTGAAAAGTTATAGTTATAGTCCCGTGCGTCATAAAATTCCCGGCTTAGGGCAATTTACTGTACCTGAAGCTACACCCGAGTACACCCGAGTTGAGCAAAACTAATTGAGTTTAAAATAAAATTTTTAACTAAATGAGTTTAAAATTACATTATATTATAATTATAAATAATAATTACGAATAACAATTGATTTCCTGCTTTAGCCGTTAGCTGCGATGAACGATCGAACAAATCTTTTAAGAATCAAGTTTTTACTTTAATTGTTAATTGTTGTACGAATAAATTTCAATCTTACTCATTAACGATTAACAATTTTTTTCACGGTGAAATTTGTCTACAGAAAAGAAACACAAACTTATGTGTATTAACGTTTTGAAAAATGAATTTGAGCTCGTTTCGAGAAGCGTGAAACTTTCACTTTTGTACTTTTACATTTATTTGTTTATAAAAATGTTTTCGATTTTACCGATTGTAATTCTAGATTTATTATTTCTGATGTTATCGATTTTTTATTATCAAAATTATAACAGTATTTTTCGACGTTATCGATTTCTTATTATCAAAATTATAACAGTATCTTGATCCTGAAGCGTCGAAGCTTTATTACAATTTAAGTTTAAATGAAATTAAATTAATAATCAAATTTGATGTTGTAACAATTGATAACTGAAGATTGACACTGTTAATCGATTGAATCAATCGCCGATTTTTCAACGATTTTAACGAACGGTTAATTATCATTATTTATCAATTAAATCAATCGCCAATTTTCTGACAATTTATTTCATTAATTCTAACATCAGTCAAACAAAAAATTTTAATCGATTAATGCCCAACTCTGAGTTGATAATTTCATTTATCTGAAAAAATGAAGCACAAAATCATTCTGTTGTCCTATCTGCCCTATCACTTTCCCTCTCTATTCACTCCGAGGGGTTTGGCTTAGATCTAAACCGACAAATCAGAATCATTAAATCAATCGCCGATTTTTCAACGATTTTAACGAACGGTTTTAATTATCATTATTTATCAATTAAATCAATCAAATCGCCAATTTTCTAACAATTTATTTCATTAATTTTAATATCAATCAAACTAAAAATTTTAATCGAGTAATGCCCAACTCTAAGTTGATAATTTCATTTATCTGAAAAAATGAAGCACAAAATCATCTTGTCCTACCTGCCCTACCACTTTCCCTTTCTACTCACTCCGGGGGTTTGGCTCAGACCTAAACCAACAAATCAGAATCATTTTTCAGCTTCAACCCCCACTTTTACTTCCCCAAAACCTTAGGTATACTTACGCGATTTCGTCCTTACGATTCTTGGCTTAGCTGAGTCATTCATTTGCTCTTTGTTGCTCGGTGCAGTTAGTGTCGGGAGATTACTCTTGTCCCCAAAGAGTAACTGTGCTTTACGTATACGTATTCGTGCGTGTTGGAAGTACACGAGTATCGAACTCTTTCTCAAATATCAAGTTCTTCATTTACGACTAAACTTTGATTTGATTTGAGTGCGTGGAAAATTTTTGTGACAGTATCATTCATAGACTGATCGCCAAATTAATCGGCAGTTACAAAACATCGCGCACTCGGTCGCTCCAATTTTGTTTAAAAATTCGCCGTTGCTTAAACTCGTCATATATTTGATTCTGGTGTGTCTTGCGTGCAGCAGAGAAATTCGTTTCTTTCGAAGGCGACTTCGCCGGTTTCGTGTTTGACGCCGCCGCCGGAAGTGACGACGATCCACGCGATGGAGCAACAGGAGGTGGTACCAATCGTCGGTGTGCAGGACGCGTCGAACCAGACGGACGCACCGGAACCGGAGGATCAAGAGCAGCAACAGCAACAGCAGCAGCAACCGTTGCTCGAAGCGTGCGTCAAGCAAGAGCAGAGTTTGAGCCCGTGTCAGTTGCAGAACTCGGCGACAAATCTCACGCAAACAACCACCACCAACTTGACGAATCTCACCAACTTCGAGATCGTCGCCGCATCACCGGAGAAGGTGTGCAACGTCGTGCGAATAACCACGACCACGACCACTGTTAATCCAGCGGTGTGCAGCCTGGTCGGCAAAGTGGACAAAGCGGAGAACACGGTCATTAACATGGCGGATTGCCCGAAGTATTCGGTGACGAAGGAATGCAGGAGCGTGACGTCGATCGATCGAACGATCGAGCACGTTGTGACGCAACAGATCGATCGAGAGCACGACGATAGAAATCATCTGGGAGACGAGAAGAGCGAGGAGCAGCTCACGGAAGACAGAGTGCCGTGTCGGGATATCAGGAACGGTCCGAGGATCATCGAAATCACCGAGGAGAACTGCGACAGTTTTCACGAGAACCTCGAGTTTTTCGGCAGCAGGAGAGACCATTCTTTGGATCGACTCCGCGACAGAAAGAATAATTACGTTCACGAAAGTGTGGACGTCGAGATGGAGGAGGAGATTGACGCGAAGGCTGCTCTTCCCGATAAGGTAAGAGATCTTCTTCTTTCTAATGTTGGTTTATTGAGAATTTCTTTTTTCCATTAATTTACGCCTAAAATTAATGAAAAAAAGTTATATAAATGTATGCCCTATCTGTCTTCGTTTATGAGATATAATGAATGAAATACCCTGTATAATTATATAATTGTAATTATCATTATATTTATATATAACGTGGATATTATTCATTTTTTATAATACATATTTCCTCAAAAACGTAACACCAAGAAGCGAATAAATTTATTGTACAATCTAGTAACATACCGTGATGAAAAATTGTCAATGTCTTTAATTGTTCTAACTTTGTAAAAAAAAAAAGAAAGACAATTCTCTCGATCTCATTTCAAAGATTAAAGTCTCTAATTTCTATCACATCAAGTTCATTTTTTTTTTTTTCAAAAATATTTTTGTATCGACTTGACAAAAAAAAATCGGGACATCTTTTCAAACAATTGAAAAAAAAGGGAAAGTCTGAAGTCACGACGAAAGAAATTATTACTATCAAACTTGCTCGAACATTCTGTATCATGCGCATTACGTTTTCCAGATTGAAATACCTAAAATTGAGGAAAGGCCTCCGATCGAGTCGAACAGACACGCGAGTACGATGGAAACGTCAGAGGCAGCAGATCGGGCAAATAAATTGTCAGAAAGTAACGGCCAGTCGAGAAATCGAATGGAAATCGACGGGAGTTACCAGAGTTTGGAGAAGAATCGGGACGAACGTCCCGAGGCCCCGCTACCACGTCCACAGATCACGGTGAAGTCTTTCGACATGCCCAGCATCGACTGCGACGATCAAGTCGCCAAACCGATCGTGATCAAGCAGGAGGCCGACGAGACCGCCTCGTACGACGATTTTTCCTCGGCTACGGAAAAGTCCAGGTGTCAGGACTCGTCGAAGAAGCACGCGACCGAGAAGAGTCATCCCGGTATCGAGAACGTGGTGGAGAAATTAAAGAAGAACGCAGCGGCCGCTCTTCAAGAAACGACGTTTCAAAAGGTGGACGATCCCAAGGACAAGAACGCGGAGGACTTGCGTTCGAGAAGGCACTCGGAACCAACGCCAACGAGGAGGTTGGAGAACGGTTTGAAGAAACACATTCTGAAATCTTGCGAGAACTCTCAATTTTTGAACAATTATCCCGAGCCCGTGTCCCGTGAGACCGAGGTGTCGTCGTCGGAGGCGTCGAGAGTTAGTAAAGATTCTCAGGATGTTGCCAATCACGAGCGTCCTTGCGACTTTTCCATGAGCAAATACCCCGTGCCCAGGAAATGTTTCTTGAACCAGAACAGCAACAACGACAAGCCAATCGAGCACGAAGACACCGTGGTGAAGAAAGAAAGTGTCTCCTCGCCCGAGTCGTGCGAAGCGGAGTTGATGAACTGCACGGAGGACGTTGAGACGACGGTGTCTTCCGCGAAGCGAAAATTAGAAATCTCCGATCAGGTGAACGCGTACGCCACGGTTGTGTGCGACGATGAATCGTCGAAGTCAGCGAGGAACGCTGTCAATTTGAAACAGAAACCGGTAGTCGACATCAGCGGGTTGGAACTGTTGTCGAACAGCATCGAGCAACTGGAACAGCTGAAGCCGCCGAACACGCAGAACGTCGCCGCGGCGACGACCGAATTGGAAAGAGCGTCGGCGAGAGCGACCATGGACAGCCCTTTGGGACTGTTGTGCGCCCTCGCGGAACAGCGATTTATGGAAGAGATGGGCGACGAGGTCATCAATTTGGAGAACTCCGAAGAGATATCGCACGCCGGCAGGTTGTTGCTGAATCTGGGCAGGATGAACGTTCAGAACAAGGAAATGAAACCGACGGAGAAGAGAAAGTATGAGCAAGGAGATTCGCAGGGCTGCGAGAGTCTCAAGAAGCTGAAAATCGATGGCGAAGCCGAGAACGACGGCTACGACTCGTTGCGTTACGAGGATCGCAATAATGGTGAAACGTACGGCGAACAAGTGCAGGAGGAGTTTATACTGAAAGCGAAGGCGAAGACGAGAAGCGCAAATTTGTCGGAGAAAAATTATGCTAATGACAACGAAGACGTTGATATGTTAGAAGACGCTTCTCTTGACAGGAATACTTCTCAAAACGAGAGTTTTGAGCAGAACGAGAGGCAGTATCTAATGAACGGGACGTATAGCAATAATCGATCTATCGACCATCATTTCTCGGATTTGGACGATGAAATGTACGATCAGAGAATGTCTCCGAGTGATAAAGCGGCGGAGAATAACGAGGACAGCGGTGATGCGAAGAGCAGGATTTCTATGGAGCATCGCCACGATTACAGGAACCTGCAGGCGAAATTGGACGCGAAGAAATTCTTAGCACGGAAAGGCCATACTGATAATAACGAAGACTGGCCTGACATGGATGCCATGGAATTGCACATGAGAGTTCAATTGGCAGATATACAGAGGCAGTACAAAGAAAAGCAGAAGGAATTGTCGAAACTAACTCCAAAGAAGGACGAGAAGAAAAGTCCGGGACGACCACGTAAGAAAAGCCATTCCTCTAGGTGAGTCAAAGCTTTCACTTTACTTTGGAGTAATTTATTATGGAACAGTTGTTTCAAACAGTCATCTTTAGTTGAGCAACAATATCGTTCCTTTTTCATTAGTCTATACATCTCGAGAAATTCTGTAAAGGGTGTGTAGAGTTGTCTCTAGTTTAATTACTTCTGTTTCTTTTCTTTATGAAATACATATGTAAGATAAATGGAATAAACAAATTACTCTGTGATTAGATCTCTCTTGCAAAAGTATAAATTTTCTTTTCACGATGTCTGACGTAATTTAAACAATGTAGTTCGCACGTTCACGTTGGTCCTTTTTAATATAGAATTTCTCGAATAATTCCATTGAGTTTCAAGTCGTCCATGTAGATCACAAAAGAATTAATTATGTTTACAGTTCTGATCCTACTGCATCCCCTTCTACGTCAGAACAGACGCCTTCGCCACAAAAATCTCCATTGCCCGAAGAACCTACGACATCAGCAACTTCAACTATTTTAGCAATGTCAAGGTGCAATGTAAATTTGATAAAATTGGATGAGCAGAGAAGTCACATCAAGTTGTTGGATAGTATACCGAGCATTCCGATGCCTGTTGCACCGGTTGCTTCACCAATATTACCTTCGAGCAAATCATCACAGGACGACGATGAGAAAAGCACTGGACGGGTAAACACTTTAACTGAAAATATAATAACCGGGACGCAAAAATCTAAGAAAACTGTAAAAAGAAAAAGAGAATATATTGCAAGACATGAAATAATGACAAGAAGCAAGGTAAAAAAACTAGAAAAACTAGAAAATGAAAAACTAGAAAAAGAAAAACTAGAAAAAGAAAAACTAGAAAAAGAAAAACTAGAAAAAGAAAAACTAGAAAAAGAAAAACTAGAAAAAGAAAAACTAGAAAAAGAAAAACTAGAAAAAGAAAAACTAGAAAAAGAAAAACTAGAAAATGAAAAATTAGAAAATGAAAAACTAGAAAAAGAAAAACTAGAAACTGAAAAATTAGAAAATGAAAAAAAATTAGAAAATGAAATATCAATAAAAAATTAGTAAAAAAATTACAAAATGAAAAATCAATAAAAAATTAAACGATAAAATTTTTTAGATTTAGGAAGAGAAAAAAAATGAGAAAAATAAAAAAAAATTTATTATTGATATTTTTATTATTAGGAATTACTTATTTGTAATATTCAAATATTCATTGAGATTTTGGTTATACCGCGTCACGTAAAAAAATTTTATTTTTGTGTAAATGTTTCAATTTTATAATACATATTATATGTATAATTTATGTAAATATTTTGTAAAATATTTATGACGAAAGAAAGTTACGGTTTCTAAAAAATGAAATTTTATTATTAAATTAGTATTTACAATGATAAAATATAAAATTCGTATTTTACAAATAAGTTACACGTTCGTTTTTGTTCTTCAAACAATAACTTTATAGGGCTACTACATGCGAATAAATTGCGGATTTATGTTTTTTCAGATAATTGGAAATTATAAAAATGTACATAATGCTTGCAATATATGAAATATGTAAATAAAACATTTATTATAATAAAATATTTATTATAATATGTATGTAACCCATAATTTGTTTCTAAAAATTTAAAAATACATTAAACTTTGCGGTGTATTTATGAAATACTTGGGTACATGAGATAAATATTAAGACTACAGTATGAATTACTCATATTATTCGGATTTTTGCAATATAATTTGTTTTAGCGATAGATAATAAAACAACGAAATAATTTTTCTAAATTAGATGTTCAATCAGTAATTGCTTTTATTTTTGTACAAAAATATTTATAAAGCTACATTTTTCAGTAACAGACTCGTTCGCCTTTAGGTAACAATATTTCCATTTATGAAAAATATTTTTTCAAAGCTGGCAGATGTTGCTGATATAGTTTCGCCAAGTTTGAATATTTTTTGCTCGAGTTCTTCATCATTTTAGTAACGTAAATTACAATCTGTTTCACTATTCGTCATAAAATTACAAATCACTCGGAACATCGGATTTTTAAAGTTACATCGAGTATCCGATTATATTCGATAGATTTGATAGTAATTAATGATCTCATAAGTATACTGCGTTAGTTTATGTATTTATAAAAAATATGAAATCACCCATAAGGCAAGTAACATGAAAGAATTTATAAAATATCCAAAGAACAATGTTTTCTATAATACCTAAAGAATAATATTTTGTATAGTAAGTTGGTTCGTAAAACAAGGTACGTAACATTTGTCGAGGATATTTTTTTCTTATCATATTCTAAGAATCATTAATTTAAATAGAAATCCGCAATTTACTCACAAGATACCCAAAGATCTCGCATATCTGGGTAAAGATGTTAGCTCTCATTTCGACGAACGAATGAAGAGTGTAAATGATACAGTTAAGAAATTGCTAGGGAAATTCTTTTTTTTTTTCTACATACAAAAATCTTGTTAAATTTCGGGAAAATGTTTGCAGCTTGGCTACGACACGTCTTCACCAGCGCCTACAGTTGCCAGCTCCAGCTCGGCGTCGAAGAAACGAAAGGTTGGCCGTCCAAGGAAATTAATGTACACCTCTGGAAGTGTACGACACCTCACAGAGACAATAGTTGCTAAGAAACCTAAGAGCAAAAGTTCCTTGGTCGGCTATCTTCTATCTTCGAAGAACAGACATTTACAGACAAAAGTAAGTTTTTATCTTGCAAATCTGAGACACACCAGAACTGTATTATAAGAATGTATTGTAAGAAAGGATGGTTGCGAGTGTATGTGATTGCAAATTAGGTGTGTCTGCAATTTTAGCCTGGGCAATTGAAATGTAAACGGAAAAATTGTTTGATTGCCGGAAGTATGAGAGAGAGAGAGAGAGAGAGAGAGAGAGAGAGAGAGAGAGAGAGAGAGAGAGAGAGAGAGAGAGAG